TTCCGCTGACTTCCCCCCTTAGATTACCAGCCAGTGTCCTTCTCCCAGCGCATACAAGCCCCGGGCGGCCTGACTGCTGTTAGGACCTCTGTGTATGCCCTCAGCCCACTGCATGCGATGCTCTGTCTGCCCCTGTTCTTGGAACTTGTGAGCACAACCCTTGCCCATTTACTGTGAATGTTCTAACCCTAAATACTTGACTGTGTTTGTGTCCTGTATTCTTTGTGCCTAGAATCGAGTCTGGCACACTAAACATGCTCATGAGTATCATGTAAAGAACATGCATATTGGTAAGTCTACATCTTGCTGTGGATTTATTATTATGATCTTAGTGTCTTGATAGCACAGTGCAGCACACAGCAAGTGCTATTTTGCATTTATCTGCCTGCTTTACTTTGTGGAAAAGTAAGGCTCGGTAGGCAGCAGTTTGGGGGACTTGCCTAACATTTCCTGTGTTTGCTTCTGCTGCGGGCTGGAAGCAGCCCCCACGTGCAGCAGCATGCCCTGGGAACAAAGTGACCACAAGCACTGGCCTGCAGCTGGAGTGCCCGGGCTACTGTTCACATGTAGACAGGCTGCTATTCGCATGTAGACAGGCTGCTGGTTTTGTTTTTCAACTTTCTCATTAGGGAGATGGAGGAAAGAATACTTCATACTTCTTTCAGAATGAATGTGCTGATCTGTGCTAAGTCCCCAGGACACTGACACAGCGAGCAGAGGCTGGCTGTTCAGCCAACACGACAGTGGTAGGGCTAGAAACGACATGAGAAAGACTGTATGACATTCATGTTTTACAGAAGGGGCTGAGAGATGACTCAGTGGCTAAGGGCACATATCACTCTCCTAAAGGACTTGGGTTTGGTAACTTCAACTGGAAGAGGATCTGATGCCTCTGGCTTCTGTGCACCTGCGCACCACATTTTAAAATAAAAATTTATAATTTAAAAAAATATATAATTGGCTGGGCAATAGTGGCACACATCTTTAATCCCAGCCTTTGGAGGCAGAGGTAGGCATATCGCTGTGAGTTCGAGGCCAGCCTGGTCTACAGAGTGAGTGCCAGGACAAGCTCCAAAACTACACGGAGGAACACTGTCTTGGAAAAAAAAACCCAATATGCATGCGTGTATTTACGTATGTATGTATATATTTGATATATCGAGGCTGAGACTGTGTATAGTTCTGTGTTAAGAGTGCTTGCCCAGCATTTGTAAGGCCATGGATTTGACCCTCAGTTCCAAAAGAAAGAGGGAGGGAGAGAGAGGAAAGGAAGGAAGGAAAAAGGAAAGAAGGAAAGGAATAATGAAATATTCAAGAAATCCTGCACTTTTTTTTTTTTTGCCCTTGGAGTCAGGCAGTAAAGCAGGGTAAGCTGGACATGGGAGCAACCACAACGTTACAGAACAAACCACAGGCCACCTACAGCTCCACTAAGATGTCCTTCTGACTGTATGTCGTTCACTGCCTGACAAAAATGTCAGTGTCTTTTTTGAACTGGACCCATTGTTAGAAACTCCTGTGCTGGTCTGAAATCCACCTCCCCCGTGGCTTCATGCTGGTCCTGGCTTCTTGCCTGCAGGAGCAGAACAGCTGGTGGGTGGGATTGCTCCAGTAGCATCTCCTCAGATTACGTGGCACATGTTTCCTGGATCCTTCATACGGCATGACGTGTGAGGCATGTATCATCTGGTCATTGTTCCTCGGTGTAGCTCATTCAGCAGTGTCTCTGTAGAGTGCACAGCACAGACCGTGACCTCAGTCACTTCGTTCCACAGTGCGAGGCGCTGCAGAGGCAAACGCAAGCACTGTTTGCATTTGAGGACAAGCAGCACCAGTCATTGACTGCAAGCTGTAAATACCTGGCTCGTCACCTAGAGCCTCATTTCCGTCAGATGGTATGACTAGGCATTACTCAGAAAAAATCCTCAAGGAAGCTGTCTTGATATGAATAATTTAGAAATCAGTAAAAAGAAGCCGTTTTGCTTATTGAAAAAAATGTATGCCAACCTCCTCACTGTCACAGTCTTGTTAATTCTGACCTTAACGATGAGTGCATAAGTCTGAGGAAAGAGTTCAGAGCTCACCATGTGACAGTCCAGCCTAGTATTTCGTATAAGTCACCTAGTATTTCGTATCCCAAGTGATAGTCTTAGTTTTATTCCTTGAAAACTGTCCATTTCATTAAAGTAGTGCAGTTAATCGGCTACTCCTACGCAGGCACACAGTGTTTATGTTGCCTACCCCATTCTAATTCATGTTTGTTATGTGAACAGTTGTCTACTTTTCCCAGTGATTTCATTGTGGCTTCACTAGGTTTCCCTTTTTCTCACTTTAGCATCTTGACTTGATTCGGTCCTCACTGGGTGAGTTGATCTCTGTGGTCCTCACTGGAGGAGTCGATCTCTGTGGTCCTCACTGGAGGAGTCGATCTCTGTGGTCCTCACTGGAGGAGTCGATCTCTGTGGTCCTCCCTGGGGGAGTCGATCTCTGTGGTCCTCACTGTAGAGTTGATCTCTGTGGTCCTCACTGGGGAGTCGATCTCTGTGGGGATGTACCGGGCAGGTCCTTCTGTGTCTCACACCCACACTTCCTCCTCTGCAGTGGAAGCCATTTACCTCCATGGTTCCTTTCCTCTTCCCCAGCGTTCTTCCCCACAGTAGCAGGTGGGTCATCTAAAATGTGGGTCATATTATGCTATCCCACGCTCTGTTTTATAAAAACCAAACTCACTGCTGGCCATTTCTCCAGCCTCTTCATTCAGTCACATTGATGACTTGTCCCCCTCCCCGGACTAGAGGCTCAGTGAGGGCAACACGTGCTTCTTCATCCCTGCCCTGAAGCCACACTGCTCAGAGCTCCTTTCTTAGGATTCTGCGATTCCTGTTTCTTTGAGATAGTGACAGGGCATTCCCTTGCTCTTGGTGTGTGTGTGTGTGTGTGTGTGTGTGTGTGTGTGTGTGTGTGTGAAGTCTCCCTGTCATGTGAACACTCGTGAAAGTAAAATTTGAACTTAATTTTAATTTGGCAAGTCTCAAATACAAAGGCTTGTGAAGGCTTGGTGGGAGCCAGATAGGTTGTTTTCTGTTGATGCCTGTTGCTGATTTGTTTCTAGAATACTGAAATGATCACAGAGTTCCTGGGGGTTGGCCTGAACGTGGCTTGTCACTGTGGCCTAGCTGTGCTGTAAAATGTGATCTGAGACAGAGCTTGTTTGAAATTCGTTGAGGTTGTTTGTTGTGTCGGTATGCCAGAAGTTTGCTCATTTTCAGAGTCGGTTTTAACACATGCCATTTGAACTGCAGGGCTATTACTAAGCATTCGTCCCAGCCTTGTTGTTAGACTGCCCAAGTAAGTAAATCTTTGTGATCAGGTCACCAGAACACTGTTTGGCTGTTTACCTAGTGGCTCAAAGGCCAGAGCATCAGCCAAAGGAGCCATTTGGTTCCCTTTTGGTACTGACTGTGCCTTTCTGTTTCTCTCTGAAGTGGAATCTGAGAAGTCCAACATGTTCTGTTGTCTCCTCAATGTGACCCTTTGTCTTTCATTTCTAGATCAGACGGAAAGGGGCATGGCTGTACTTGTTAAAGCTGTTCTTGTGGTTGAAATCTGAGAAACAAGAGCATTCCCACATTCACCTCCTCAGCACCGAATGGATCCTGGCAGAGCCCAGTAGAACTCTAACCTGGAATTCTTACTTTTTTTTAAAAAGCTACAATATTAGTAAAAGAATTTAGGATAGATCAAACATTTCCTTAGGTCTCAATACTATGATCAAAACGGGTCCTCTGGGCAGTTTGTCTGAAAGGTATTGAGCAGAAGGAAGGGGAGGGGGAGATGAGAGGGAGTTTGGATGTTGTAACAGCGTAGGGTGCCATGGTGCGTAATCTGTGACGGGGCCAAGAGAGCTGTGCTGAAGGAGACCATTGGGTCCTGAGTGGCAGCCTACAGTGGCAGGGAAAGCTCTGGAAGTGCAAAAGCCCCAGGTCCATCTTACCTGGACCCTCTGTCCTGGCTGCTTGGGGGATCAGCACTGAAACGTTCAGCAGCTCAGTCAACTGTGAGATGGGAGAGCCATGGAAGGGGAGACAGGAAGGCTTGAGCTGAGTTTCCTTTCCCCAGATTTGCTGGCGAGTCGAGTATGACTTGGCCTTTACACTTAACGAGCCAAAGGCTGAGAAGCATTTAGCTACTTGGCTTTTCTGAGGCCCATTTTCCTTATCCATAAAAAAGAAAAGCAGTCTGTGGTGTGGGGCTGGTACATCAAATGAGACACTGTGTGAGATATTCTATCATAAGGCATGGCTCACTGATTAATTCTCTTCTTGCAAATCAGTTATCTGTTTTCTAGCAGAGGGGCAAATCCTTTGTATCCAGTGAGTCAGAGGCAGGCTTCTCCAGACCGCCGGATCCAGTAAGGGTTAGCGGAGTCTTCCCTGCAGCTGTCCCTCAAGAGTGTAGATGTGAGGGTGGTCATGTAGGTTAGCCAGTTGATCTGCTTCTGCTGAATTAATTAGGGTAGGATGGCATCTAAGCAACCAGAAAATGTGGTTTTAAATAGTAAGAAATATATATATTCTGTATATATACATATACACAATTTCTCTGTACAATAGCCCTGGCTATGCTGGAACTTGCTCTGTAGACCAAGCTGGCTTTGAACTCACAGAGATCTGTCTGCCTCTGTTTCCTGAGTGCTGGAATTATAAGTGTGCACCACCCTGCCCTTCATAAGAAAATATTTTAAAAGAGATTACTCTAGACTGGGAATATAGCTCAGTCCTAAGGTACTTGTCCAGCATGTATAGGTTCTGAATTTCATCCCTGCCCCCTGCTCTATGCTTATATAGACACATAAACAGATGGACACATGTGCACATACACATATATACATGTATGCACATGTATACATGTGCACACACAGACAATTCTATGCTGACAACTTAATGATATCAATTAAAGTTGTTTTGTTGCTAACCATGCTTTTTTATTCATACCTCCAGGGAAGGAAAAACGTGCAGGATGGTGCAAGTGATGCTGAAATCCCCAAATTTGATGGCGCTGGATACGATAAGGATCTGGTGGAAGCCTTGGAGAGGGACATTGTGTCTAGGAACCCTAGCATTCACTGGTGAGAGTCTTGAATTATAGTAGAGAAGAAAATAAATCATAAGGCGGGTTACTGTGAATTGTCTCGCCCTGCCCCCATTTCCCGATAATGCCTTTGTCTGTAATAACAGCTCTGTCAGAATCTAACAAAGGAAACTTTACATGTTAATTTACTGTTGACATGCTGACAAAGTTTGCTAACCACATAGCGTGTTCAAATTAAACACCCAGTATGCTTTCACTGGTCATTTTTAATGGTAAGTATTAGAATACAGTTTTAATATAAGAATAATTTTGTAAGTAAATGAATTTGAAGTAATTGGCTTTGACCATAAATCAGAGGTGTCCCTTGAGTAATCATGCAGCTGTTCTGTTCTCTCAAAGGGATGACATAGCAGATCTGGAGGAGGCTAAGAAATTGCTCCGGGAAGCTGTTGTCCTTCCTATGTGGATGCCTGACTTTTTCAAAGGGATTAGAAGGCCATGGAAGGTGAGTTGTCTGACAGACTTGAAGTGGGGATGCTTGCATACCGAAGGGCAGCCCTGCTGTGGATCAGTGTGCATTGGACAGCTCACATCCCCTCCACTCCTGGTGTGAATTTGTAGTTGAGATGCGCTGCAGCCACACAGCAAGAGAGGTGGGCTTAGAGCCGCCACACTGCCGTCTTCAAAGTCACGTGTTTCAGGTGCTGGGCTAGAGGTTAATTTTAAGAACATTTGGATGTCTCTTTCTGTAAATAAGAAGTTAAGAAAATTGTGTGTCTCTGTGTGTGTCTGTGTCTGTGTGTGGCTTTGTGTGTGTTTGTGTGTGTCTGTGTCTGTGTGTCTGTGTGCAGGTATGTGCATGTGAGTGCAAGTACTTCTAGAGGTCAGAAGAGGGCACTGGATCCCCTGGAGCTGGAGATAAAGGGGGTTGTGAGATGCCCTCTGTGGGTGCTGGAAACTGAGCTCAGGTCCTCTGCAAGAGTAACACAGTTTCTTTACCACTGAGCCCTCTTCCCAACCCAGAAGGGTCACTTTAAGTACTCCACCGAATTACAGGAATGACTCCCGTTGGGTTCAAGAAAAACTCTTTCTGAATGTATGAGAAGGCTCTTTGCTACCAAGGCTTTCGTTTTCTCCTCCCCTTTCTTCTTTCTCTTTCCTCCTTGCTCCTTACCTTTTGTTTTAGCAGACAGTGTCTTCTCTGTAGTCCAAGCTAGTCTCCAACTGTGCACACTCCGTGCACACTGCCCATGTGCCGGGATTATGGGCGTGAGCCACCGTAGCTGCTCAGCCTGTCTTTTATGAGCTTATCTCTGGCCACTGCTGACCTGAAATACCTGGAGAAATCATTTTCTTCATTTTCTTATTGCTTTTGCTAAGCGCACTGATCTCACCGTGACAACTGAGCTTATATTTTCGGGGTATCCTTGTGTACAGCTGCACTGACAGTTGATGCTAGGTTATGGAAAACATTTAAATCTAGTGTGTTACTTACTTTGTCTTTGGATTTTCAGGGTGTGCTGATGGTTGGACCTCCAGGGACTGGGAAGACTATGCTAGCCAAAGCAGTTGCCACCGAATGTGGGACAACCTTTTTCAACGTCTCCTCCTCTACACTGACATCTAAATACAGAGGCGAATCTGAGAAGCTGGTCCGTCTGTTGTTTGAAATGGTAAATGTACCGTATTTTGATTTTCAAGTGCTGTTTGTCCTTCTGGGCCTGTGATCCCTCATATCCAGGTCTTTGTACCGTGTGATCAGAAAGAGCAGTGTGGGTATTGTACTGGCTGGGATCCTTGGTGTGTCTGTAACATATCATTCTTGATGGGATGAAAACCGGCCCTTTGGTACCCTGTCCAGGGAGGGTGATTGGTGGTTTGGATGTCTAGTGCACTGATGGGTTAGAAGACTTGAATGAAGCACAGCTAGAGGCGGATCTGATATTAGATACTGATTTATTTAAATTGTTTCTAATAAAGCCCCCCCCCATGGTGAAAATTTCTAATCATAAAACTAGAAAGAATTGCCAGGTGTGGTAGTGTATGCCTTGGGAGGCAGACAGGTGGATCACTTGAGTCTGAGGCCAGTCTGGTCTATATTGCTAGTTCCAGGTCAGTCAGGGCTACATAGTGAAATCTGTCTCAAAATAATAATAAATAAAAAGTAGAAAAAAAGCAACAACTATCTATGTATCTTTCACCCAGCATCACCAACTTTGTGAGATTTATCTTTGGACTGCTTTTTCCTGAAATGATTGTCAGCAATAAGATTGTGGGAGCAATTTGATGGCCAAAAATTGTTGCTTTCATTTGCCACTGTCTTAGAATGAAAAATAACAGTTTCTTTAAAAATACAGAGTGCTTTATGAGCTCGCTGAATGATTACTTTAAAATGCTTTCACCAAGGCTAGGTTCTACGCCCCCACCACGATCTTCATTGATGAAATCGATTCCATCTGCAGTCGAAGAGGAACGTCTGACGAGCATGAAGCAAGTCGCAGAGTCAAGTCTGAGCTCCTCGTCCAGATGGACGGTAACGGACATTTAAAGACTGTCCCCACCATCACTCCCTTTCAGCCATGGCTGGACTCAGTGAGCCATCAGGAGGCAGCTGGGGTTTATTTTTAATCACTTGCTTCTCACCCACTTGTTTGCGCTTCTTCTTCTTTTTTTTTAAATATTTATTTATTTATTATGTATACAATATTCTGTCTGTGTGTATGCCTGCAGGCCAGAAGAGGGCGCCAGACCTCATTACAGGTGGTTGTGAGCCACCATGTGGATGCTGGGAATTGAACTCAGGATCTTTGGAAGAGCAGGCGATGTTCTTAACCTCTGAGCCGTCTCTCCAGCCCTTGTTTGTGCTTTTTAAGGACTCATTAACCGTGCTCCAGTCCAGGTTCTAGGTTATGGAGCAAAGGACTACTCTGGCCTCCAAGGAGTTTGCTGGTAGAGCCAAGGCTCTGAAGGTGTGACTGGGAGTCCATGGACCATTAGACCACTGGAGGGCTCTATGAGGGCCACACAGTTTCAGTAATAACAAGGCATATTTACTGGTTTTGCTTTAATTTTCTCACAAGTATGTAGTAGGGTCCACAAACCCTGGGAAAATGCAGATATTCTCTTATCTACTCGTTTACTTATGTATAAGTCTTGTAGGCCAGGCAGTAGTGGCCCATGCCTTTAATCCCAGTACTCAGGAGGCAGAGGCAGGCGGATCTCTGAGTTTGCCAGTCTGGTCTGTAGCGCGAATTCTAGAACAGCCAGGGCTACACAGAGAAACCCTGCCTGGAAAAACCAAAACAAACCAAAACAAAAGTCTTTTAACTAAGACTTGGGAGGTTTTGAAAACTATGCTTATTTTTCATTAAACATACCACTTATCTGAATTTGATGAGTCATGGAGTCTTATGTTTACAATGAATTAATACTTTAAACATTCTATCTACCACTATATCTACTTATGGTGCCGAGACCAGAACTTGGAGCCTTGTGTCTGATAGACAGGCACCACTGAGCCAATACCCCAGCCTTTCTGTTTTGATTTCTAGTGGAAAATGCTGATAGACATACTCCACACAATGATGGCTCTTTAGAGTTCCAGGGATTTTTAAGAGCATCAAAGCTCTTGAGACCAAAACCTTTGAGATCAGAGGCAGAGTGCTGACCAGAAGTCACACAGTGGCCCTTCTGTGGCAGAAGGAAACTCTGGGCGTGGGAGTCACAGTGGTCAGGGTGGGAGGGCTGCAGCGCTGGAGGCAGAGGAGCTTTGATGCATGGCTAGAATTGCCCAGACATTTGGGGAGCCATGAAGAAAAGTTAGGGGCCTAGCACTTCTTTAGACACAGCTCAGTCTGGTATTTGTATGGCAGACAACAGGCAATTTAAGCAATCCACAAGAGAAGGTAAAAATGTGTCTAAAATATCCAGCAAGTGTTGTTTCTGATCATCTACCAGCTGTGAACTCAGTGGCTTAGTTACTGTTCTGTTTCTGCGAAGAGACGCCACTATCAAGGCAACTCACAGAAGAAAGCATCTGACTGTGGGCTTGCTTACAGTGCCACAGGGCTAGTCAGTATCATCATGGTGGGGACCTGACAGGCATAGTGCTGGGGAAACAGAAAGGGGGGAGGGAGTTGCTGTAGGGAGAGGGCCGCTTGTTTGTCCTGGCCACCCGGCTAGCTTACACCCAAAATAACCACACAGAAACTGTATTAATTAAAACACTGCTTGGCCATTAGCTCTAACTTCTTATTGGCTAACTCTTACATATTAGTTTAACCTGTCTCCATTAATCTGTGTATTGCCACGTGGCTGTGGCTTACCGGCAAGATTCTAACCAGCATCTTTCTGAGGCAGAGGAGGATCCATGGCTTCTCTGACTCTGCTTTTCTCCCTCCCAGCATTCAGTTCTGTTTTCTCCACCTACCTAAGTTCCACCCTATCAACTAGACCAAAGCAGTTTCTTTATTCATTAACCAATGAAAGCAACACACAAACAGAAGGAACTCCTACACCAGGGAGTGGCTGAGACTGCCTGGGTTGGGCTTTGGAAACCTCAAAGCCCACCCCCAGTGACACACCTTCTCTAGCAAGGCCACACCTCCCAATCCTTCCCAAAAAGTTCCACTAACTGAGGCCGAAGCATTCAAACATAGGGGCATATGGGGACCATTTTCATTCAAAACACTATACTTAGGATGGGTCCTTAACATCACATGGTACACAGTGCTAGGCACTGAGAGACCAATAATGGTACTGTGTGCTAGGAGACCGGTCCCTCAGTCAGTGCACCATTTCAGCTCTTGCTTAAATATGAAAGGAAGGAATATGTTTTACTTGGGAGAAAAGCATAGCAGAAAACATTAAGTGTTTAAAACTGGGGCCAGGGCATCACTGAATACACATTCAGCCAGCAGGAGTTCATTGAACAGTATCATGACTACTTGTTAGTTGGACATCTTTATTCCTCCTAAGAATGATTTAAAAAGGCATTTAGTAATGATTTATTAATTATGCATGTTGAACTGGGTTGCTCAAATTATGCTACTTTGATAGCCAGTCATGTCTGTGAGCTCATACACCAGTGATATTTCACGGTGTATTGTGAGCTCATGCACCAATGATATTTCACGGTGTATTGTGAGCTCAGGCACCAGTGATATTTCACGGTGTATTGTGAGCGCATGCACCAGTGATATTTCACGGTGTATTGTGAGCTCATGCACCAATGATATTTCACGGTGTATTGTGAGCTCATGCACCAATGATATTTCATGATGTATTGTGAGCTCATGCACCAATGATATTTCATGGTGTATTGTGAGCTCAGGCACCAGTGATATTTCATGGTGTATTGTGAGCACATGCACCAATGATATTTCACGGTGGACTGCCCAGAGCCAGTTGCACACTCTCAAAGGTTTTGTTGTTGTTGTTGTTTTGCTTTTTTGAGACAGGTTTTCTTTATTTTGTAACTCCTGCTGTTCTTGAGCTCATTATATAGGCCAGGCTAGCCTTGAACTCACAGTGATTCATCTGCCCCTGCCCACCAGGTGCTAGGATTAAAAGTGTGCACCATCATGCCCTGATACAGTTTTTAATCTTTTTAATCCTATCATTTTCATTGTGAAGAAGCAAAACACTACAGTGTGTCAGCTGGTCTCACTTCCTCAGAAAAACAACTAAGTTAAACCTAAAACTAAGAAAAAGAAAACATCAGAGGCAGTTTAGAGCGGGAACATCAACAGACTAAGTGGCCTGCAGTCTGAATTTCAGAAGCAATATGCACTCTGTCCTTACATAAAGATGGCAAGATCCCTTCCTAGGTTGTCAAATTCTCTAGCTCCTTTGTTTTGTTTTGTGTTGCTGTCTGGGTTTGCCACTCCATCAAGGTTCCAGAGATGCTGAAGTTGCTTCACTGAGGTCCATCAAGAGCTGTGGCTGACACTTAGAGAGGCTGACTGAGGGAAAGGATCCAAGTGTCCGTCACAGCACTGACAGCCTGTTCCCTGCTCCCTGTGCCCAGGAGTTGGAGGAGCCTTAGAAAATGATGATCCGTCCAAAATGGTGATGGTTCTGGCGGCCACTAACTTCCCGTGGGATATCGATGAAGCTTTGCGAAGGAGACTAGAGAAGAGGATCTACATCCCCCTCCCGACAGGTAAGATGTCTTCCCTTTACTGAACCCTGAACTCTGTCATTTCCTGTTAACCCTTTCCTATTTATTTATCTCTGTCTCACTGTCTCACTGTTTGAAGGGCTTGGTGGCATTAGGAGGCCAAGCCGAGTGATGGAGGCAGAGGCCTTGTGAAGTCCTTTGCACTTCAGAGAAACCTTTAGCCCAGAGCAGTATCTGTGCTGATAAGTGTGGTGGCGCTTGGGTTCCCTTCTAAAACTGCATTTCATAAGCCCTGTTTTAAAAATTATGATTTTCTCATGAGTGTTGAAATTTTCTTAAATTGTTTTCATCTTTTTCCTTTGAGATGAATGTATATGTAGTGAGAGGTGTGTGTCGAGTGTGTTTTGACTGGATGAGTTCTCTGAAGTGTGTGGATCAGGATAGTATCCTAGACAGGATGTGGGAACATCCTGCCACCTCAGAAGGCTTCTGGGTGCCGCGGCAGTTCATCTAAATCTCCATTGCGTAAGCAGTTTGCCTGGTCCCCCGTCACTGAGACCGTGTTCTCTCCTGCTAAACTTTGTGTAAACGCACAGTGACAGCATGGAGCTGGTGTCTGGTGACGCTCGCCCTGCAGAATGTCTTTCTCCATGCGCTGATGTGACTGCGTGTTGATTCCCCTGCTGATGGGGGCGGGAGTTGCTTCTAGTTTTGGGCTATTATAAGTAGAGCTATATGCCTTATAAATATTTTTATAGTTGATGTCGTTATATCTTTAGCTAGTATGAGTAGGATAGATTAGTCATAGGGGAGGTATGTGTTTAACTTTATGAGTCTGATACTCTGCCCACTTCTAACAAGGCACCTGTACTTAACTTTATGAGAAATACTCACTGTCTTCCTGAGTGGTTTACATGTTATATTGTCACCGTCACCATCAATAAACGGGAAGACAATGCAGAAGCCTGGCCTATAGTTGCTGTCAGTGTTTCCACTTTACTTGCTCTGGTTGGTGTGAAATGACATCCATTATGGTTAATCTGCATCCTCTGATGACCTCTATCTTGAGCACCTTCTCATGAACTGATGTAGTGTGCCCCTCATTTTGTAATATTTAATGTTTTATTAATGCTGTATATAAACTATCTTTACTTACATTTTTATATTTTTTCCTTCCAGTTTGTAGTTTAGTTTTCAATTTCCTTGATGTTATTTCTTGATAGTCAGAGTATTTTAATTTGTAAAGACCTTTCCCCCAGTTTTTTGTTTTGTTTTTTCCTTAGTAGGAGTTCCTGTATCTTAGGAAATATCTGCTTACCCCTAGGCTGTAAGACTTTTTTCTTCTGTTTACTTTTAGAAACTATATTTAGCTTTGTGATTTTCCTTGAATTAATTGTATGCATGGTAGTGGGGTGGGCTTTTATTTTTCCCATATGTATATTCAGTTCTAGTACCATTTGCTGAAAGGAATTTTCTCAATTCAATAGAAATGTTAAAACCTGGCATCTTGCAGAATATATTCTCAATAGTAATGGAATTGAGTTAGGAACCAACAATGAGGTATCTAGACCATCTCCAATATTTTGCTACTAAATAAGTTAGCTCTGAATAACAGAAGGGCCAAATAAAATTGGAAAAATTAAAAATATTTTTATCTTAGTAGAAAAATATGTCACACTAAATATTGTGATATGAAGCAAACATAGTGTTTTAAGGTCTGTAAATGTGTACATTAAAAAAACTTGAGTAGATACTGTGTTAGCCTTCGAAACAGAAATTAGTCTCAGCATGTAGGGAGATAAAGTAGAAAAAATAAGTGAAATATGAAATAAAATATTAATAAGGAAATATTTGTTTTTTTAAATTAATATAATCAAGAACAACAGAGATAAATTACCAATATTAGGAATGAAGGAGTCACCATTACAGCTCCTACAGACAGTAAAGGAAGATGAAGCGTGTAATTCTAGAGGACCTCAACTAAGTGAGAGTGGAGTCTCCCTAAATTTTCTTCATTGCATTTTTCTGATCAGCACAAACCATGGAAGTCATTGTGTGTTAGATATTCACAGCTGGCAACATTTGCACTTAAAAAGAAAGGCCTCAACTCTATCCTCTACCTCTCCTTTCAGAAAAGGAGGAAGTTAAACTCAAAGGATAAACTTTACCTGCACCACAGTCTAGCAAGCTGGATATTAGTGCCCCAGGCAGTTTTCCTGAATGTCAGAGTGTCAGACACAGACACTTGCTCCACTTTCCTCTTTCCTTCCAGGGGAATCGCTGGACACTTTCTCCAGCCCTGCAGACTTTTATTCAAGGTGACATAGGTTCTGGTGCAGGAGCAGCTGCTGAGGTCTGTTCCTGGCAGCCCTCAGGCCAAGGTGTGCCGATTGGTCCCATGTGCTTGGAGCCAGAGCCAGCAGAGTCAAGGCCCTTGGCAGTGCTATGGGAAGCTGGAATGCGGGGCACACGCCTCCCTCTTCTCATTCCCTCCCAAGGGGAAGCTACTAGTTGGCCTTTTCCTGCCGGTCTCTAGGAGCGGTGTCAGCTTGGCGAAGAAGTGACTACAGAGCCAGGCAGCTTTTCTTACCCATTTCCACGAAGTTCTTAGGATGAGCAAACATACCTGCTTCTGTGACTTGCTAGGGGACTTCTGAGCCATGGTGAGGTTACACCATTGTCTTCCCACCGTCAGGAGGAACAGCATCAGGGGCTCCTACTCCCTGTGCTGCTGCTGCCACTCTGAGCCTCTTTTTATGTGAAGTCATCTGTCATTAATATCATTGTCCCCTTGTGTGTCAAGGTATGTCCTTCCCTCTCTGGTGAATTCTTTGTTTTTAAAATCAGTTTTGCGGGCTGGAGAGATGGCTCAGAGGTTAAGAGCACTGGCTACACTTCCAAAGGTCCTGAGTTCAATTCCCAGCAACCACATGGTGGCTCACAACCATCTGTAATGAAATATGCTGCCCTCTTCTGGCCTGCAGGGACATATGCAGACAGACCATTGTATACTTAATAAATAAATCTTTAAAAAAAAATAAAAAATAAAATCAGTTTTGCTGAGGAATAACTGAGACACAATAAACCTCATCCGTGTAAGAGTCTGAGCTCTGGCAGCTGTATAGCACCGTGAGACCACACACCAAGAAGCAAACATACGTTTTCCTTCTGAAGAGGCCTCTGGAGTCTTTCCAGTCTGCCCCCCCCCCCACCTGAGCTGATTTGTTGTTTGTTTGTCTGAACATGTCACAGACTGTTTCTCCACTCCCCATTGGATGTTATTAGACTGTTTCTAGTTTAAGGCCATTGTGAAGGAGGCTGCTATGAGCACTGATGCTCCAGTTTCTCCTGCATCAGTGCTGAGAAGTGACATGGTGACGTATGTTTGGCTATAGTAACCGGCTAGTCACTGGCTTCCCTGTTGTGTTTAAGATGGTGCACTTTGGCTGTCACATGGAGTTCCCCACTTTTTTATTCTGCATGTGTGTTGGACATCTTGGTCCTGCTGTAACCATCACTGGGGTGCTGTTCACTTCTTCTAACCCTTTTTTCTGATAGGCGTCATCTATCTTTGTTCACTGACCCCTGCCTCTGCCATCTCTTTTCTGCTTTGTATCTGTCCTGTGACTTTTCATTTTAGGTCTGTTTTGCAAATCTGTCATTTCCAGTTTTCAAATAGCTTCTATTATTTTGCTGGGACTCTTAATTGTTGTATCACTCACTTTTGCCTGTCTTTCCCTTTAGTTCTCAGAATTCGCTCCCACTTTCGCTGGGTGCTCTGTGTCTAGGAATAGAGTATGGTGGAAGTGATGCCAAGGACTTCCAAACCTAGCTCAGAAAAATGATAGTCTCTGCCTGACTTCCTCACTGGAGGGCCAGCAGGTGTGACGTGAGATTGCTCAGGCAGCCATGGGGAAGCCCACATAGGAACTGAAGACTTCTACTAATAGCCACCATCTTGCCAGTCATGGAAACTAGTTGCTTCTTGAATGACTGGTGTAGCCCTGGAGTACAATCTCATGAGATACTTTCTGTCCTAGTTAGCTTCAACTGTCAACCTGACACAGCCCAGAGGCTCCTGAGAAAGGGGGTCTTTATTTATTATTGTTTTTATTGAGCTATATATTTTTTACTCCTCCTTTCCTCCCCATTCTCCCGTTATCCCCTCGTTCTCAATTTTCTCAGGAGATCTTGTATTTTTCTACTTTCCATGTTGGTTAGATCCATGTATATCTCTCTTAGGGTCCTCTTTGTTGTTTAGGTTTGGTGTAGGAAGTCCTTCTGTATTTATGTGTTGCTTTTATTGGTCACAGTGTTGGATAAATGTACATAGACTTGGGAGAGAAAAGAAAAAGAATATAGACAGTTATACAAAGAAATAAATGGTTTAAAAAAGGGCAAAGTCTTTAAAGAGAGTAAAGACAACCATTGTGTTTTCTTTGAATTTTTTGACTGTGAAGGAGCTAATTAACCAACATATATACTTTAAAGGTATCTTGTCTTCAAAATTTGGATCTAAGGATATGTTGCTTTGGAAAAGAGGTTCTGCTTTTGTTTCCACAGAAGACGAGAACCTGTGGATTAATTCTAGACTAATGTTTTTTGGTGGATCAAGATCCCCCAAAAGGTTGCCTTGAACACCCCCCAAAAATTACTTTGCTCAACAAAATGCAGGAGGTAGTATGGAGAGAACTATGCCCAAATTCTCTAAAAGATTGTTTATAAATGTTTGTTTACATTTAAAGGGGGATATGCTATAGAAATTTGCATTGATATGGATCTTGGTTTATTGATAGAAATTTAAGGTCAATTTTATATATATATATATATATTTATATATTCCTGCTCTTGATTAAGGTATTGTGTTTGTACAGATCATTTAAAAATGTAATGTATAATTAAGAAATATAGGTTAATAAAGAGTCATCTATAATAGTCAAGCTTGTAGTCATGTTAGTTAGATTTTTTAGATGTACATAGATTATTTCAGATGGATAGGCATTCTTCAAACCTTTCAAAAACTACAGAATATGGCATTTAAA